TTGATGCTGGAGCACAGGATGCTCTCCACTGCACACCTGTAGAAGGACGTCTGTAGACTATCTGTTGTTCCACCCATAATTTTTGATCTGCTCAAGATAATTTTACGAAACTTCATACACGAGTCATCACTAGTTGGAGTCTTGCACACACTTTGCATTATCCAACATCAAGGTCTTTGTCACAAATCAAGGTTAAATATTCTACAAGGTCATGTTTTTTTGTCAGGGCCTTTGCTATTTATTGTTATACAATAGTTTGTCAACAAATGTATAAAGTGTTGTTTGCATTACTCTTGTTGTATCCATCCATCCATCTTTACCTGCTTCTTCCTTTTTGGGTCGCGGGGTTCACAGGTGCCCATGTCCAGCCATCACTGTGCGAGAGGCGGGGTACACCCTGGACAGGTCTCCAGTCCATCACAGGGACACATAAAGATAAATAAGACAAACCATTCACTCTCTCATTCACACCTAGGGACAATTTAGATTTACCAACCAGCCTAACATGCATGTTTTTGGTCAGTGGGACGAAATCGGAGTACCCAGAGAAAACCCACGCATGCACGGACAGAACATGCATATTCCACCCAGAAAGGCCCCCGGACTGGGATTTGAACCAGAGTAACCTGCTCACTGAGAGGCAGCTACTCTACCAACTGCGCCACCGTGCTGTGCTTGTTATATTTATTTAGATGGAAATTACAGGGAAGTCTGAACTGTTACTTAGCTTTTCCTTTTAGAAATAATCTAATGGAAGGAGAAAAGTGTGTAGCACAGCTCCACCCATTAGCTATTTTGTTGATGGTGTCTGTGACCATCATCTTGAGGTTTTGCCTCCAAGGACTTTACTGAAACTAGAGTAAGAAAACAATACTTGGCTCCAGTGTCACAGCCCTAATTTTGTATGGCCAACCACATTGGTTGGAGATGGTGAGCTCAGTCCTCCCCACACAATGCCTCTTTCAGACTTGTTATCAGAGAGGTCTTTATGCAGCTCTTGCTCAGTTTGACATGTCTTTAGGTTTTTTTGGGAGTGGTATTTTCCCTCCTCTTTCTGCTACACATTTTCTCTCGTCTTTGCTCTGTTGTTTTCTCTCTATTCTTTGTATTTTCAGTTTTTTTGTTAAGCTGCTGCTTTTCCTCCAGTTAAGAGACTTTTTTCCTACATCTGTCTTAGAAACACGAGATCCAATCACATGAAGGTTTTCATATATTCGACTGCGTCACATATTTTGGCTTGAAAAGAGCAACAAAAGTATGCATAACCTACATGGCACAGAAAGCTGCCTTGCTAAGGGCATGCTGCAGCAGGAAGGAGTATATCCAGTTGAGTTTTGTTTTAGCAAGATGCAGGTCATATATGATATGGGGGCGGGGTACACCCTGCACTGTTTAAAGTCCACCACAGGGACACATAAACAAATGGATTTATGTTGGATTCTAATGCTTTTTAACAGGATAAGAAGTTAAACAGACATGTTATAACAAACAGAGGAAGCCTCTTGTCCCCAGTCGCGGAGTAAAGTGGGGGAATTGGAAATATCCGTCTGTTCATCCATGTTGTGAGCATGCTAACTTGTTAAATAAGTGAGATACCAAGTTTTATTTTAGTGTGTTGCTACATGGAGGTGTAAGAAAGGTTCCTTTCAAAAATTGGGTTGCCTCATCAAATTTCATGGTGGCCACCACCATATATATGAGAGCCACTTCTGAAGTATGCCATTTTTTTATTGTTACAGTAGTCCCTTGATACTTCTCGGGTCAATTTTCGCAGACTCACTCTTTCATGGGTTTTCAATTTAAGATTGTACAAGACACATGATTGGCAATGGGGAAAGACGAACCCCACCCTCCGCCCCCTCCTTTCTCTTTCTGAGTCTGTTTGTCACAGCAGAGCAGAGACACAGCCTCAGAAAGAGAAAGGAGATGCAGGGATAGGGTCTGTTTTTCCCCATCGCTAATGCTCAGGGAGCAGGGAATAGATCAGAAGAACACATGCAGAATATCAGAGAAAATGCTTAGGTGGAAAAATAAGAGTGAATCAGTTTTTAAAAAGAGAGATTGGCTGAGCGCAGCTGAGTGTATATGACAGACACCGCCCCCCCTTTCTCTTTCTGAGGCTGTCTGTCAGAGCAGAGACATGCAACAGGCAGGTGTGCAACAGACAGCCTCAGATAAAGAAAGGGGGGATGTCTGTCTTATACCTGAATAGGGCTGCAACTAACAATTATTTCAATAATCGATTCATCGGATGATTATTTTTTAGATTAATCGATGAATCGGCAAAAAAAAAAAAAAAAAGTTTTAATTTCCACCTCTTTATTCCAAAATTGAACATTTGACTGACATAGCAATTCACACAAAAAAACAGGTTGCAATTTGACTATTCTGTTAGTAAATATTGAAAAAAAAAAAAAGTTTGTCAAATAGCTTAAAAAATTTAATGTACACAAAAATATATACAAATGTATTTTTATACCTGCACAATATGTAGCTACTTTGTAAAATGTATCATTGAGGGAAGAGTGTAACCTGGATTAAAAGTGTGGATTATTGTAACCTGGATTAAAAGTGTGGAT